TTCGACCTTGTTGACGCATTCTTGGAAACTCTGCCCAGATCGGGCGAAGACAACGATCTGATCGCGGATCTCCGGATCGAAGACGACACGAAACTTTACACGCAGCTGCTCCACGTAATCGATCAACGACCGAAAAGTGTCCTCTAAAACGTTCGCCAAACGTCTATGAGTTTCTTCTAGATACCATTCGGGCAGAACAACCTGGATGTGTTCACGGCCGGTTTTCACGCCAACCCAAGAATCCAACGGCGGAAGTTGCTGTCCAACGTGGCCGATTTGTTCAATAACGCAACGGAAAGCGGTGCAAATTTCCCGTATGGTCGGGCTGAGAAACAATTCGTTGTTCTCGCATTTCAGTTCCAGCTACGAGACAGAAAATATTCATCTACTGTACCTACCAATTTAAATTAGCTACGAGCATTCTCGACCAATATCCATATAGCACGTGACGCCTAATAACGCCTTGAAGACGACTTAAAGGCGCATTAGGCCTAAACTGGCCGTAAAATGGGCGCCTTCAAGGCGTCATGTGCTATCTGGGAAAGAATAAAATCGACCGACCGATTTCCATAACCCATCAAAGCCAGGAAATGGCGTACTTTTAATAGGGGTACTGTACTCCAGTCGCTCAACACTTCAAGGAGATGTTCGATGGTGTTTATCATACGCGTGACCACTTGCAAGGCAAGCAGATTGTCCGCGCAATTAAGGAAATCAGGCAGGGTAGGTTGGGGCACATCATAGAGGTAACGTGGTTGAGAGATCAGTCGTACGATATCGCCGTAATAGGTGCCAGTGATAGCAAGCGCACCTTTTTTCGTATCGATTTCCACCAAATCCAGAAACCTAAAACGAACCGCAATAATCGTCAGATTAATCTTACCGTTACTGTCGTCATTTAATTTCGTACCGTGTTATCAAGCTTCGCGCACACGTCGCGTGTAAAACCATCGACGAGGTTATAAGAATAGACGTTTCAGCTTATGAAAGTTTCTGGTCCACTTAAATTGTAGTACCGACACCTTAAAAAAGTCTGATTTTAGCGACCTCTACGTTATGAAAACGGTAAATTTACGGTGGGTAGTGACACTAAAATGGAAATGGGGTAGCATGACCCCAGAAAAGTGGGCTGACAAAAAAATTAGATGGAATTTCTACTCCTCTACCTCGTCTACGGTAAAACTCTGTATATCATCTCAAATGAACAATTCGTAATAAACAAATTTAAACAATTAAAAATCGCTCACGACCATTGTCGTTATGTACTCCAACAAGTACGAACATTATCTGGAATTAATATTGCGATTGATCACGATCTAAAAATTTCAATAATCAGCCCCTAGCTTGGACACTTTGCCGTAAACGGCGCTATAGGTTTTTTATCTCCTGCAGCATTGTACAGTGGTACCATCTCACTGCCGGTCTATAATACTACTTAGCTAGTAAGTTCGAACGTTTCGCCATAGATGACGCCACTGTTAGTTTCGATCCCATTTTTTAAATTCAACACAACATATCAGACAGTCGTTGATGCACAGTATCGATTGAAAAGGTTCCAGAAAATAATAAAATATTATTGAAAAAATACGAAATGTATAAGAAAAACGGTACTCCCGGATCAACGGACACTTACGAGACAACTATTTCGACATATAACCTGTTGAAATCGAGATAATCCAGTTCCCGGTAACGGCTGAAATCGCAGATCCAATCTGGCATCAAAAAGTGCGCTCTGGCAACTATGTTTCTGATCAGCTTGTGGGGTAAGTAGAATTTTTTCATCATCGCGCAACGATTTCTCAAGAATTTGGGATACAAATCGGTCCTTCCAGCCAATTTGTACGGTGGTATCGGTATTAGATCCTCGTTGCACGTTTCCTGACATTCGATCGCTATCACGCGTTTTATCGCCTGTTCGTGCATCGCACGTTCGTATCGCGTCTTCGTTTCGTTCAGCTGTTCCTCGAAGATGTCCAAGTATTTCAACCGTAATCGGCTCGGGACCAAGTTTCGAATATTCCATTCCCATTCCTAAAGGATTTAAAGTGAAACTTATAGGAATCCGTTACGCTTGATCGTACGCCGCGCGCAATTTAAAATCTCGCGTACAGGGTGAAGGCTGTTTATGGGCAATTTGTCCGCGAATTCTGTCATTTTCATGAAGCAGAAACTTTGAGGTTTCTTCAACGTACATTCGTGATCAGTTTGACAATCGCTCGGATGCCGTTGATGGTGGATTTTCGAACGTCTTGCCCCTAATTCCAATACATCGTGCACCTTCCTCGCGTCGATCTTGAGAAAGTGGTCAAGGTTAATGTATGAAAGGAACTTAAACCGTTAAGAAAGTAACGAAATTTTACCTTTCCTAGCCTAAATTTACTTTCAGGGAATTGTTTAATCTCGATCACGTTAGGGAACACCTTTGGAACGTATTTCGAGTCCTCCATTTTCGAAACGAATTTCCGTTTCACATACACCTAGGATAATTTTACTGTCGACTTCATCAACAAACAGATTGAACTGAATATCGCCGTCTGCTGTCAGGCATCGTAGTGGTGCGCAAAGGATAAATGAAAAATAACGAAACGACGTTACCAGCGTCTCATCGTTGATGTGATAGGGCACACATATACATAGGAATAGTGAAAATGGTAATAAGATTTAAATTAATACATTCAATCGACGTTAACGAAACGATTATATTTGAACATAAATCCTGAAGGTTACGTCACATTGTTACAACAATAAAGTTCGCCGGTAAATTAAAGGAAAAGTGATAAGAGTCCAAAAGTCGACACATTTTGCGAGTCAAGGTATGAAAGAATGGAAGCATAAACACGTAGTATCCATTTAATACTTCGACATTGTGACGTGAGAAAGAGACATCACGTAAAAGGCAAAGGATCCAATAAATTGGTCATTGGTAAACCGACAATCGAATATTTTCATTGGTGTTTCTACTTAAAGGCATTTTTCGGATCTATGCATTATGCGACAACTAGGAGGGTATTCATAGTCGCTGCTTATTCTTAAGAATTTGCTTAAGAATTTTAGTGACTATAAATACCGGCCCTATACCTCGTTCCTTGGGACAATTGGACGCGGTAAACGCAGTCTGATTCCGATACGAGCCAACTAATTGAAAAGAAATCCATTCGATAGAACCGAATAATATCGTACAAATGCAATGGAAGCATAAAGCGCTGCGACTCGTATGACAATGGTAATACGAAGTTGTTACAAGTCGTTACGCCGTCTTAGTACGACCGATACACGACGATGGTTTCCCGTAATCCCGCGTTAGTTGACTAGAACTTCGAATATCACGGTCTTTACAACTTTATCCAGCATTTACATCTATAGGATAAATTCCAATATCTGGCATTTTGATATATCTATGCATATGTATACGTGACACGCTGGAAGTAGCTTGTTGTTGGCGGTACGTGTACGCAACGTAACATGTTAAGCGTTCAAACGCAGTCGATGAATCATCGAAGATCCTGTGCATCCTTAGCAGCGTTCAACTATCTGATCAGCGAACAATAACAGCCATTCTTTGAAAAAAAAAAAAAAAAAAAAAAAAAAAAAAAACGCACGCAATCCGCTTACGAATATTTCGCCACCTACGTTTCGCTGGTTACTCTAACGAGCTATCTTTCGAATTTTTTTTTACAGAGTTTCGTACTACCTTACCCTAAATTCAAATTGTACAGTCGCTTCGTTCTTCGACGAGTAAATATTTATATACAACCGATGCATTCGAATGTCACCTTCCTGCGCATTTCAAACTATCTCTTTCGGTGAACGTCCGTAATTATTATATTATATTCTCGCTGTTCGCGCGTTCTCAAACGTAATTGGAAACCGCATACAATAGATAGATATACACGAAGCGATGGTTATGTACAAGATGTTTCACGATGCACGGATAACGGCGTGTGTCGTCGAATAACGTTTCCAGTACAAAGAATTGTTAACAATAATAATGGTTTTTCGTTATTACTTGCTAGAATCGTAGAATATACACAAGATGATGAAAAAGATAATGAAAGAAAGCTTGCGCAACGAGTCGGCATTCGTACAAATTTCTATCGTATAAGCGAAAGAATATATATATTTTTATCTTTGTTCATGGCAATCGAATTAACAGTGTGCACACGGTCGACACAATTTTTCAAGGTATATCGCAGAAAAAATATATGTATATATGTACACACGATCTAAGTATAGCGAGTTTGGGCGTGGAAGATTATAGATAATTTCGCGTTATTGCCATGCATTAGTCACGAACACGGGATTTACGTAAATTTGTAACGTTTCTCAGGAGGCATTTCTGGTAAACATACAACGCGAATGCAAAACGATTAACCGTTTAGCGCAACCATTCGGTTGTAATTGTACATAGTATAAAATATCTGAAACAGTGAACAGAGCGAAGCCAGCAAAATAGAAGAATATATATGCTACATATACTTTCTAATACGTCGCCTATCCGTTGCCTTCGTTATATCTTAATGCTAATTCTACGCACGACTCGAGTTTTCGTTTCATGAAACCCTACGGCTCCGTTAGTTTCTTTTCATGCATACCAAACAGAACAATTCTTGTAAGAAATCGCGACTTCGCGATTTCTTGTTTTACAACAAAAATAGTAACGGAAATTTCTACAGCACTGAATTAGAATATGTTCAGGCAAAATAGTCGTTTCGCTTATTCGTGATACAAAAGAAAAGCTAGGTTTAACAGCTAAGAATAAATGAAGCAAAACTAACACACGTCAAGAAAGCAACTAGACAAATCCGATGCAAACGAAAACTCAATATAAAAGACGTAAAATATATACATATATAGATTTACCTATTATAGAAGTCTTTACTTAAATGTATCACAATATAGTATATATTAATGTCATTTTCTTTGTAAGCTGTCTTTACACGAATGAAATCAGACTGAATATATGTATAATATTTATATATGTATAATATGTATGTGTATATGTGCTGTGTAAATCCTTTTTCTTTTTAAAACGATACAAAGAATTCACTATATAAAAATAACGTTTCCCTTTTTAAAGATAAAATCACATTGCAGTGTCGCGTAGTAAACACCATTGCAAGAAAACAAAAGGAATCTCTTTCCCGAATAACACGTCACGCCTCGAAGACTGTTTTGAAGACGCATCAGACCTAAAATAGCCGTAAAATCGGCGTCTTCGAGGCGTCATGTGCTATATGGGGTTACTTTATATGTTCAGACGGTATTCAATCGGATTTTAAGCGGTGTTGGATCATAATGGTAAAAGATCTATCAAGTGTCCGCGCGGTTCTGTCAACGACTCCGGAAAGAATTCTGTCAGTTTATCGTATAATTCGGTTCTTAGTGTGTGAATATCGCGGCTGGTTGGAGAGTACATCGACGCACCTATGTTAACTAAATTTCCTAATACGCTGCCTGAACTGTTCGAATTCGTGGCTTCTTCTAACAACGAGTTTTGTTCTCTGAATAGAATAGACGTTAACAATTGAAACTGTAACGATAGAAATGGATCAAATTCAAATTAGAAAATTATTAAAATGTATTCACCCGATTACTGATAAAAGATGTTAATACCTCTTTCGTTTGTTCCACATCGTTATGATCGATAATCTCCGACACTTTGGTCTGTAAATATTCGAGCGCTTCGACGCTGTTGTTCAAGGCCAGCTCTTTAAACTTGTGCTTCCTAATTAACAACTTGCATCTTCTCAAAATCTGTTCCTGTGAAGGTCTACATAATTTCAGCTGCCAAAAATCATCGAGTCGCAAGTTTCGAAGACAAGATCTTCCTGGGTTTCCTCCGAATAAGAAATATACCTAGCGTGTAACAGTAATGATGTTGGTAATAACAAAAATAGAAACAACAGTAATAATGATATTTAACGTACCTTCTTCATGTGATCATAAACCAACTGATGCGCGAATCGCGGGCACGGTACATAATCCTGCATTTTATTCCAGTATTTCTCTCCGACATTCTCGTGTCGGTAAATGCAAGACCATTTGTTGCTCTCGATATTGTAAACCCAGAAAGAATTTTGTACATTGTCGTTCCGTTTATCCTTGTCTTTACTCAACCCCTGAGTAAAATTGAAAGAGGGAAATTTAAAGAATGAAATAAAATTGAAAAGGAAATTTATAGAATGTTAATAATAACGATGATTAACTGGCATTATTGATATTTTTAATTAGAATTTTATAATACAAACCGATAAAACGTAAATTTCACCCAATTCAGGATCGATCGTCGCTCTTTGGGTAAAACCAGCGGCCGGAACGTGATTCGAGTCTTTCGAACTGCTATCGTTGAAGTTTATATGCTCGATGTGATTGGTATCGATTTCATAAGTGAAAAAGTCGTTCAAATATTCTTTACCCCTCTGACCAGCGAAAATATACAGTTTTCTCGATCCCTGCGATAATGTAGAACATAAAAAATTGTATAACACATAGCCTGTAGGGTCTGAGGAATTTTTCAAATGCATACCGGGTGAAACAGCATAGAGTGGCCAGCTCTGGATCTAATGGTTGGTACATTAGGAGGGCATGGTCTGGCAATATCGCAGGCCAATTTCGTCCACGTACCGGTAGGTACATGATACGAGTACAATCCAGAAAAAATTGGCTCGATCGTGTTTGGTATCATACGATATTCATATTCATCGGGACTGTGGATAATTAGATAAATATATCAGGCTGTCAATTTTTTGAGGGCATCGATTTATCGAACTTACACGGTCGGGTAAATGACAACACGTCCACCGAAAATGTAAATGGTTCGCTTTTCGACATCCATAGACATTTGATGATCAAAAATTAGCTCCGGTCCACCCACCGCTTCTGTATCTTCCGATATTTGAGTCCATTTGTTTGATTCGATATCGTAAACGAAAAAATCACTTTTCACGTTCTCTTGTTTTCTATACTGCGTATCTAAATATCTTCCGAGGATAAAAAGTTGTCGACGTTCAGGATCAAGACACATTTTGTGACAGGATCTCGCACTCGGACCACCCTAGGATTACGCATTTCAATTCTCGGTCTACCGATACCTGTTCCTCCTCGCTTACTTACCACAGCTTCGGTATCCTGACATATGATGGTCCACCTGTTAGTGGCTATATTATACGCCCACAAGTCTGAAAGATCTTTATTACCATCCCACCCTCCGTAGAGATATACGATTTCCGCATTCGAATCGAGCACCATTTGATGACCGCCTCTCATTCCAGGCTTGGGATCATCCGTCGACAATTTAGTCCAAACTGCTGTGTACGTTTGAGCATTGATATAATCATTCAGAAGACCCACTGTAACGTAAAATGTATCGGATTTGTTTAGAAGATTTCAGAAACGCATTCGATAACATGAAAATGAAAGAATTGAAACTCACTCATCACAACATTACTTATAAAATGTTCTGCTTGCAGATGATCACCCTTTGTGACCAATAAATCGTATAATACTGTCAATCTAAGATCTTCCAGTGGAACCCCTGTAACTCTTTGCAAAGTTTCTACTATTTTGGGTTGTTCCAGTCTTCTGAAGTGCTTCATGCACAGTCTAATTACTTCTTTTTGACGATACTGAAACGAAAAATCAGTCATTGTCTATAGAAGAAAGTACTATTATTTTGCTAGGAATCATTGTTTCAGTTACTTACCACATTGAACCACTCTATGTTGGGTTTGATAATATTAGGATCATTGACACCAGTTAATCGTACATGCCAAATAGAGAAATTAAAACTGGGACCCCAAGATTGTAATGGTAAAATCTTTATATACCTAACTGGGAAATAATTATCCTCATTTCCTATTACATGTTTCAAGTCAAATGTTTCTGGTACAGAATCGTTTTTTAATCCGCTAAAAAAATAGTACAAATAATTATCAATCGTACGACTCCAAGTTTTAGATTTTCTGACTCACCTCTCTAGAAGCTCCATCATATTCTCTGGCTCTAGACCACCGTAGACTTTGAACTTTTTTATGTTGCAGACATGTGTTTTTTCATATTTACCAAAAGTAATTGTTCTCACAATCGACGGACATTGCAATTTCAATATAAGAAACTAAAAAAAAACATAGATACACGCATAACAAATAATAATTTGTACATAATTTCAACAATATTAGGCAGTGAGTTTATTCGGTAAATTTAACGTAGATTCACGTGAGAAATAGTTTAACATGTTTTTATAAATTTTTTCAATGTCATAAGCATGTATATATCGCGTTATTTTTAAACAATGTTTACCTGTGGATGATTGTCAATATCGGAAGACCAGCGCGATGTCTGATCCGACGGTTTATCTACGAGGATATTTCTGAAAGAAAGAAGGAGAATATTGATCAAAAATTTGACTGAAAATCCGGCGTGATGCAGATGTTAACATGCTTAATAATATTATGCATAGAACGGATTCGTTTTTTATCGTAACCGTTATTGTAGGTTAGAGATTCCTGTTCAAAGAGCAGCCGTTCTCTAGCCCGTAATTGCAAAGTTCTATTGGCAAGTAAATCGTTCAGGTGTCAGTAAATACTTACTCTGGCACGTAAGACGAAGAGAAGCTGGAGTACTTGTAAATTTTAAACTCCAAAACTTTCTCAGAATCGCTATTTTCGTTGGACGCCATGTTACACAAATGACATAAGCTTTGACACTAACTGTGTGTGCGATTCTAATGGATATCTACATACAATGTATCGATGAACGACCGTCATGTGAAAAAACATGACCCGGTGAACGGCAGCGGTTTTAAATATGAAATGGCAATACACCTGAAGTTGATCAGCTTCTCGAGAATTCAGCTTGGTTCTCATACATATCCTCCAGTATTCTTATCTGCTTATTAATTACACGGATAAAATATTTAAATGCTATTTTTAACGTTCAAATCGTGTATTTGTCATAGATGTGTATAACACTTGATGATTTCGTTTTATTTACACGTTAGCTTAACGAACTCATAAATATATATATATATATATATATATATGTATATATATATATATATTCTATTCTTCCATGTACACTCGAAGTAGTAGATGTAGTGTTGACGTTCGTGACGAATACAAAACATAAAAATGTACACAATTTACAGTTGTACACCAAGGGCAGAGAAGTTACAACGCAAAAAAAAAAATATATATATGTATATTTATGTATACACGTGATACGTACGTGAGTTTTGTGTATAAGATTGTGTATACCGCCGCCAACCGAACAGGGTGAAACCAACGTATTCATCGAAAATAAATGACACATTTGTTCCCTGTATCGGTAGTGTTCTTCCGAGACGCTATCTAATTAATTGGCCCCGTCCGGACAATATCAGACTTTATTGCCTTGTCCAATGGAAAATTTCATAAAAACATTGTTCTGCCCAACTACGAATGGCTAACATCGACCTACTGGGATGGGCGAAAGCGGCGGTTCGAAGAAAAACATCCCTTATTTTTGCTTACTAAACGAACGCAGTACATACAGAACACTCAGTAAACATCGAATCGTGTCGCTTATCATTAATAAAATATGACAACCTTTGCTTCTTCTTCTCAAACACGCACTTGATCGTAATCACGATTACGCATACAATCTTATGTACAGTCAGGTATCACCGATTTAATTAAAGAATATCCTCGGGGAGTCCGAGAAAACGGAACTTAACTCAGTTCGAAGCCTGCGCCAGCTTGTATAGCGTACAAAAGTTTTTCGCGTAGTATTTTCTCGTCTGGGAACTCCGGGAGTTTCAACAGATTCATACAGGTACTGGAAGTTGGCAAGTGATCTACACTGCCTGCTTGTTGGATGCAAAACGGTGGATCGAGTTCCTGTAACATGATAAGAATGTTCTATCAACACACAGAACTTAAAGGAAGATGTAACCCAGAAATTAATAAAAAAATAAATAGTAAATAGACGTACTTTAAATCCAAGTAGAGGCGGCCGACTGCAACTGGTAACGAATTTGAGCAACTGTCTTTTCTGTTGGTCGTTAAATTCGTTAACGACTTTCCAGAAAGCAGTGATCGTGGGATGATCGGAAGCATAGCCTCCCGTGTAATTTGTATGCAACTTCAAGTCGTTTACGTCAACGGGAATCTGTGCACCCGATATCAGAACCTGTAGCTCTTTGTTGCTGAACATTTGAAGCCAATCCAACGGAACCACGTTCCCAATGCCTTGCTTGAATGCGTAACACTGTGCTCTGATTTGTTTGTTTAGCTTATAATCAGCCATCAAATGGATGTACTCGATACGATTATGATTGGTGACCGGGATGTTGGCACCGCTCGGTTTCAATTCGTCGACTCGTCGTTCACCCAGCTCGTCCGACAATATCGTGAAGTCCAGACCAAGATCCGATACATCGCCTTTGTAACTTTTCAGATACAACAGATTCCTGTACATAATCGGATCTAAGGAGGCTAAGTGATGAACATCAACGTCTGATTGACGACCAACGATTTTCGATAGGAAAAATTCCGCGAACGGAAGCTCGACCAAGAGATTCTCGTACAACGCTTTCCCGAGAATTCTACCGATAAAATAATAATGCTTCGGGAAATCGTCAACCAACGACGGTACCGTAGGATTCGGATACAGCATGTTATCCTTGGTAAGCCTGAAAAAGCCTCTGTTAGGGTCGAAACACGTTTTCAACAGTTCCGATAAAAATTCTCTAAACAGACCGCCACCGTCTATACCGGCTTCTTGCAATCCAGCCGTATTAACGAGCTGTACACGCATTTTTAATCGTAACTCTGGTTCTTTTTCCGGCGATAACTTTTGGAACGCGTCCTCGTAGAGGTAGTTTCTTCTTACCGATATCATTATCGATGGTCCTTGCATGAAGTTTGTTATTTCACCTTGTTGTTCCGATTTGTCCCGATAAATCAGCCACTGGAATACCATTACTCGATCGCTGAACGGTACTACGAACGGTATCTCGCGAAGCAGCGTCAATGTTCGAACTTCTTTCGAGGACAACGGCGGCCCTTCCTCCAGTTCTTCGCGCGTGAACACACGAAGCCCTTGAAATGGAACGTATCCCCGGAGTCTACGTCTGCGAAACGTGAAATCTTGCGGTTTATCTATCGGTATCATGATGTTTGAAGCGATCCAGTGTCCTTCCGGACAGAATTGCTGTCTTAGATCTCGCGTATGGAGTTGACGTAGCAAACCAACGGTCACTTTGAACAGATGCGTCCACATTTGTGTATCCTGTTGATTCTGAATAGAATACGAAGGATCGATGACAGCATTCTTATAATCATCACGCACGGTGGGCCGACTGTCGGGAAACGCAAGCTCGACCAGACCCAAGCAGACGCCTTTCAAATGACTCGAGAGAATCACCAATTCCGGGATTGTGAACGGCATCGCCTGTTGCCCGTTAACGTCTAACGGTTGCTCGGTCGTTTCAATGAAGAATTCTGAATCGTGCAACGTAGCGATAAGTAAACTGAACAGAGAACAAAACACGGCCAGAAGCGGAACGATTTTTTTCGTGTCCTCGCTCGAAAGACCGAGTCCCCGCGATATGATCTGTAGAAGAGGCGTCGATCCACCAAACAATGACACTTGACAAACTGACAACAGAGCAGTCCATAAATTCTTTAAGAATACTGGCTTGAAAGCAAGCATGTACAATAATTTATACTTATGAATGGCTAATTTGTTGGTGATCAGCAAATGATGACAGAGTTGGCACAACGGTTGCAACACGGCTGGATCTTTCGTTCGATCCACCGCTGACAGTATTTCCTGTACACGGTGCTGTGTGTTCAGCATTTCCAGGCATTGATGCAAAATATCGGCTTGTTCTTCGTCGATCATACTAGCGTTAGATTCCGTGTCCGAATCATCTGCTTGGTCTAGGTTATCGTCGGCAGCCAACGGAATTATCGTCGAACTCATGGAAGCCAGAACTTGCAGGTAGTTGATCAGAACATCTTTGGATTTGTATGTGGCTGTAAAGAAAAAGCATTTCGTCAGCGCCCTTTAGTTTGTTCTCCATTCGTAGCGTTCCATTTGTTTTATATACTCACAAAGACAATTCGATTCTAGAGACAAAATTGAATAAAACAAACTTATCGTTGGCTCTATTTTGATTATATTGATGCAATCGATCAGTTGATCATATGGAAATTCTTTGAATTCAGACAGTGATGGAATAATAAACATTCTAATGGAATCAGTCATTCTCGGAGATAGTATGCTTCTGCAAAGTTCCCGTAAAACGAGCATAGAAAAATCATCTTTCTGATCTAAGAAGGAAATTAAATCCAGTGGTCGCTTTATCATATCCACTAGACATTTTGAAAGTGGGGTCACTGGGACAGAACTTGCTTCTAACATAGGTGGAATTTTCTCATCTATCAGTTTCCTTAATTGATCAAAGTATCTGTGTTTTATCAAATAGGTAAAGACGATTTCTAAATATCTATAACTTTTTTCTCTCAAAATCTTTTCTGTATCTTCACGACTAGTAAATGTCTCTAAAGCTCTTAAAGGTATGGCTAATGAAGAAGCCCCGTCCATCAATACTTGTGAATTATGTTGCATGCACATACGAAGCATCCATCTGTAAATAAAATTTCATTAATTTATAATTTACTGTGCTGTTTACATCAGTGTTTACCTTGATCTCCACAACCATTCAGGACAGTTCACGCATCTCTGTTTGATTTCTTGTTCGTGCTTTAAAAAATGTTGCAAAGTCCAGACCAATCTGCCAATGTCCAAGGTATAGTTACAGAAGAATAATAATTTACGAAAATACACAGTTAAGTCCTCTAGATTTATATTTCTACGACCAGATACTTGTTGTTGCTCGTCGAACTCTTTTCTCATAATGATCTTCATATGCTTCCTGATAATGAAGCCGCGAACAAATGCCTGAATTTTTAATGCTGCATTGTGCCTTCTACGCTGCTGCTCTCGTTTCAAACGTTCCAATTGAGCATGCTGCAACAGAACTGACTTTTCTGCTCGATCATCCCTTCTGCTTGCACCAGCTAGATTTTGTTGTGGTTTACGTCTGTAATCTCCTTCGAAACTGTACATGTTGTTTCGATGTTTTTTCAATAGCATGATATCCCTATCATTGCTTATCCATGCATGCTTCAGAATACTTGAAAAGATTAAAAAAAACTAATGGCAAAACCAATGTTGCTAAAATCGTCTATTCGCTACTACGTGGAATCGAACTGTTTTTCTCGTTGACAAGGTTAGCAGCTACGGGAACTATTGCATTCGTTCGTTTACGTTTGTTTCCGGTTTATGTTTAACATTGTATTACAAACATATTCTCGTTAATTCGTTTATCTCGACGGTATGTCAGCAAAAAACAAATAGTTGTAACAGCACTAGATCGTACATACGTACAATACATGCACACATCGGCGGTCAAAATAGTCATTCACCCCACTCTGGAACTCGATAGTCCCTACTCGAAATCAGACAGAGTTCTTCCTTATGCCGAGATACTCAATGATTTATAATATATTTTGACCGTCCATATACGTGTATCGAGAAATAAACGTGACTGATTGTTTCATGCATTCCCTTGAATCAACTGCCTCCGTTAACAACGGCTGTTTCTGACATTTCCCTCTAATATTCAATTTTTGCATGGCATACACACACAATGCGAATGTGTTCGAAGACACTAGTTACTCTATCTATGCATAAATTCTCAAGCTAGTATGGAATATATACCACAGTTTTGTCACGAGATGGCGCAACAATATCATTTAATTTCGTAATCGAGATTGGTAAAATAGTCAAGCAATTAGTCAATTAATATCACGCTTGTGCTATTAGTCGGCGATGCAATGTTAGTAAGAGTACATTTTACACTATTGAATAATATGGCTTAAGAGAGAACTCTCGTTTTACTTAGCAACTTTTGGGCGTTCGAAGTGGGCTCGATAATGGTCGGCAATTATTTTGACTTTGACTCGCCGGTATAGTCAGAAGTATACACTAGTGTACACACAATGTGCAAATGCGACGAGCATTTAGTTCCTTACAGAGTAATTGTACTGTGTTTACGTTAATGTCAAGCAAAACAGAATGCAATTTTTGTTATATGCTGTCCCGGACTGCGTTTTCGAAACTCTTTTTATACGAACAGATAGTGCATTCACGATTAAAATTTGGGAATATTAAAAGAAAGCATCGTCTTAGCGTCTCTATACGAATCGACAGAGAAATATTCAAGAGTGTACTGATTATGGCAATTTGTACTCTTAATCAAGCATCACGATAAATTAAGATGTATTTAATTGGGATATGTCATGTTCGAAATTACAGAATTCAATTTGAGATTGGTTGTAATTAACGTCTGTTTCAGTGAGACTCTGCGATCGCGATGTTTTCTTTGCAATCAGTTCGGTGGTTTAATTCGTGATAGAAATTGATTTCCTTTGTATGTTTGTACACGAATGGTGTAGAATAGAGAAATCAATGATTAAGGTTGACACTATAATGTGATGTAAATAAAAAGAATGGAAGATATATGGGTGATATTGGAATACGTTCTTTCATCTATTGTGTGAAATTGAATCAAGAGTGGCTGGGAAGATGGCGGCGGCAGAGTTAAAACATGATAATGTTTCGTGCTACGAAACAACGAAAAGAAATGCATCGACAATAATTTCGCACAGAGAAATAGAATGTTACCGGTTCAGATTGTTAGATCTAATTTACTACATGACTTCTGTCAGTTTTTTTTTCGTCGATATAGCAACAGGTGAACAAAGAATAAGAGTATACTACCTTACATATATATCTTCTCCATTGCATTCAGAAATACTTTTTCATTGAATAAAAGAGAACAAAAAAATGTACAAGTGTTTATGGTTTTAGTAAACATAAAATGCTGTCGTCCGCGAATTCATATACTTTGAATACGCTCAGTGTACAAATTGGAACACAAATCTTCCAGTTTTGTACATTGTATATTGCAGTTCTGCATATTTCTTATACTACAATAGTATTTATAACTAAACAGTATATAAATCTTAAAACTTTATACAATTTTTCTGATTTTTATATATACTAAATATACTATGTAATAAATTAAATAACATGTTTTAAAATGAAGCATCTTCTTCAATTTATGCCTATTGAACTTGATGCATGTTACAAAAGAAATGTTCAAGATACATTGATGCATTTAAAACTTATAAATGGATGCATTTGACAAATGTATATGTGCAATGTATAGACATGTACAATCTGTTTTCCTTTTTTGTAGACAGTATCGTTTTTATGGAATATTTTCTACAAGGCCAGTTTATTTGGGGATGCTTTGCTTTGAGTTTTACAATTTTACCTGCAGCCGTTATTCAGACATTTAGTTTGAGATGGTACCACAGCGATGGTTCCATTAAAGCTATACATTGGTTATTACATTTTCTCTTTTTAGGAGTGTTACACAGGTATTGTTTTCATGTTTTCTCTAAATTAATTCACGAGTGTTTGTTCTGTTTTTTTTTTTATGAGGGATGATACTTTTATTTCTAGGTATTTGATATTACTTTATGCTACAATTTATTCCTTAAGGAATAAACGATTTGTAAAGGATAAAAATTGGGTCTATAGACAGGAAAGCGATATATGTATGCTGCATCTGTTCGAATCGTTTATGGGGGCTGCTCCACAATTAATATTGCAGCTATACGTTATGGCAGTATTACGTCGTATACCACTATGGACAAGTAAGGATGGTTTAAACAGTTACATTATTTATCTACCAAAAATCTATTGACTGTATGGCAGAGATAATGATGATGCGAGTTCAAGATTAAATGCAACTGTTTATCACATTTTAGTTTTTCTCGACTAATGAGACATATGTTAACCCGGAAGTATACGCTTAAAAATATTACGCGTGATCACGCGAGTGAGGTAAAATTTACCCGATGTATCTCTTTTTTACAAATCTGGAAATTGTTCCCAACCATTTCAGAATTTTACTTTCTTAATGGAATTATATATAAAATTCATATTTTTCTTCGGGCAATTTTTATCCTTACGCGTGTGCTCCCGGGTTAAAATATCATAGAGGTAAATAAGAAAACAGTTTGAAGTCAGTTTCGTAAACCTTGTTAATTTCGTCGAGCACTGATCTAGGAACATTCTGCATGTATTCTTTAACTAAAGCAGCAGTTGTAACTCCTCGTGGATTTATATTCTTTAAATCACCTTTCTCGTATAAATAATCGCTTAGACCGAGCTCTTGTATCAGGAATTGTTGATCCCTGTCGAATGTGTCGAATTTCAAAATGTAATTGTACTTAATCAAACAGGGCTCGCATGTGTCTACGAACGGTGCCCAATGTTCATCGAAGTATTTTTCTTCTATTATAAAACGAAGAAATTCTGTAAACGTCGGTTCAATCTTAGTTTCATTTGGCTGCCTGTATTTGTGATATTTGTGCGCGATGTGACGTCCGAATCGTTTGTAGTAATAATCCCTTCCTTGTATGTGCTCTAATTTATCTCTGTACGCGGACACAAGACGTTCAAATGGATGTCGAACAATAAGAAATTTCTTTGTTTTGTTCAGCTTCTGCAAAACCATGCCTTTTGATATCTTCTTAATAACTGGTTATTGTACTCGTTTCGATCAAACTATTGCATACCTGATATGCTCTTTTCGTGTCTCTGTCACGTGGAAATGCTTTCCTTACGATGGTGTTAATTTGCAAAATATCCCGTCGAATTAATTCCATGGCTGTTTCTGTCAAGACTCCCCCGAGTGTAGCGAAATGCTTCATCCATGTGGAACTTGCTGCTTTGTAGATCGGACACCAGGATATTCCATGCGTTCTGCCGAGTATAAGTTTCGATTGGTGTGCATTTTTGAAAGTAGATCAATGTTACACTTACATATCGATAACCATGTTCGACAATACATTGTCCAAGTTTGATTCTCCCCTCGTTATAGTATCACAATAATGTTCCAGTTCTGTTCTCCTAGTGTTCAATTGATTTCTTATGGTTTTCATTTCTTCCGTGGTTAACGTGTTTATAGTGGTTTTATTTCTGAACAGATCGTTGTGTCTGTAATACTTGTTCGTCATATAGCTCGCAAACTTCGAATGTTTACTTGTTTGTAAACACGAATTGCGAAGGAGATTCAATAAAAATATCAGGGACATAAATACAACTGCGAGTATTGTAACTAGTTTTGCTAACGTAAGATGCCTCTGCGAAGAAACGATAAACTTTTATGTAAAGACATTCGATTGTTTCATTAATCGTCAACGAAACGGTACTTACATGTAGACCGGAGAACATTTCGAAAACATGTAAACACTTCACTTTTAGCAAGCAAGCACGTATTATCGTTTGACTTTTCTGTTCTGTCACTGTTACTATTGGCATTTTATATAGTTTCACGTATATATATACACCGAATCTTCCTAGAAGAATAATACTTTCTCACAGAGGTAGCATAAATTGGAGAATTCGACAGAAAACTGATTTTACGAGGCCGCATGCTTCTACTTCCTCTGACCCGCCCCCCGTCGATAACAGAGAGAGGCAGGAACAAAGATATCATGGACAGTTTCTATCTTCTTACAGAAGACACTGCTATTTTTTTCCCCATTCGGAGCCCAATTGTACGGCTACCGAGTATATATTCCGTGTAGGAAGCATACGGTGTCTATAACTTTAAAAATAATTTTCTCTTCCCTGAGTAGAGTGGGTGTTTTAAAGCTCTAAAAATACGACGACTTCCAACTGCGACTGGTATAGACTAGAAAAAAAAAGAAAAGAAAAATACAATGTAGTACTTGTTTATCTCAAAAACCCGCGAGAAAATGTCGAAAAAGTGGAATACCTGTCGGCTCGATGAACACGCGAAAATTTTAATTTACATCTCAAACGGATAATCGAACAGGTCTGTCGGCTGTAGTGTCCTTCTGCTCGCTGTGCTGGGCCGTGGGTGCGTATACAAAAGCAATGCACAAAATAAATCCGGATCACGAGGCAACGTGGTCAGCGTTGGCTCTGCAAGGTCTTTGGCGGGCTGGAATGCTAATATCTCGAATATCTGTACTGGTATTGACGGCGATCTGTTTAAGGGAATGGTTTTTATTGTTTCTCGGTAAGTTTCTGTGGTCACTGTATCGAGCTATCGCGAGACACGATCGCTCGAAAATAGATTAATGTCCTTCACAACGATGTGCATCCCCCTCTGAATGTTACAGGACTCCACTGGCTATTTATGACTATTTGGGTGATCCTACAGAACACCGATTTCTGTCCCACCGTATGGGAGGAGCGTATATATAACTGCATCATCGGATTAATTTATTGCTTCGATTTCTTCAATCTGCGGGTTGGAAAATCCCGTTACAGAATACTGGTATTCTATTTCATCGTGATGACGGAGAACGTGTCCTCCTTGGTTGTTTACGTGGTGTGCTACAGAGACACGATCACCGGCGAGGAGATCGCGATAACGACGAGTTTGGTGGTCGGAGGTATGACGATCGGTTTGTCGAGCATGTTACTGTACTACGGGAAATTTCATCCGTCCAAGGTCGACGGTGTTGCACCCAAAGACACGAACAATAGGTCCGAGATGGTAGCCAAGACAGCCGTCACTCCACGATCTTTCAAACAGTATTATGCGAATTCGGCCTGTTCGGCCGACCATTCGAGGGCAGCCAGCTCCGAGGAGGTGACCACGGACAAACAATCCTTGTTGACGAACATTGTACAGAGCTCGGAATGCGCGGATACGACCGGTATCATTAACCAAACCTGTAGGCTCGAGAACGAATCGAACACTGCCGTGTGCGTGGTCGCCGAGCGCGATTCGGCGCACAGCAGCTATTCGAAAGACGAGGGTGCCGCGTCGAGCGGTTTGTCGAAAGCTTTGTTCTGCCCGTCCGACACTGTCGGACGGGAGCACGATATCGAGAACGACGATGCCACCGAGGAGGCTATTCACCGGCAGAAACGACGCGGTATCTGTTTGCCAACGGCGCACAATTTCGACATAGACGCATCGACGAAGGACCATCCTCGATCCGCGAATTCCTGTCGTCCTATCGCGTCGCAGAAGAGACGACCGATCTGTATCTCCACGCAGCTTGTCATCGAAATGGAGAACACCAGGAACGAAAAGGTCGCCCTAGATGGGGATTCGGATGTAGGCGCGAAACTGGAGGATCTGGAGAATCGTTCTCCAGTCGGTGAAGGTCGCGAGAACGATGTAAATAGCGGGACGACGGTGTTAAGGGATAGACTGAAGACTCCGCCTATTTTCGAGACCCACGATAAAAATGACTTCTCGACCACCGAGAAACTCACGAAGGAGTTGCAGCAAAGGGACGAGACCATGAGCTGCGTCACCTCCATACACGATTATGAGAACGTCTGCCCGCTCGGTGTCGCGAGGCCACCTTGGTGTATTCGCAGCTGGAAAGGGTACACCGACATCGAGACTTACATTCACGACGACAGCGTCGTACGGGACAGACGGAGGGATACGTTAACGAGCACCACGACAGGGACAACCTACAGCTCGGAGTTCTCCGACGTCACCTGCGCCAGCTCGATACTCCGTGGGATTCTGAAGCAGGACGATTACCTCGACACGCTCACCTACGATCTTATCGAGCCACGTGAATCCAGGCAGCACCACAACGAGAACGACGAGAAAAGGAGTTCCGAGGCGGACGAACCGAACGCCGCCACGCTTTATATCGCGAAACCGGTCGTAATCGATGACAAGGGCGGTATGTTCGCGCTGGACACCATTCTAGAGGAACACGACGAGGCTTCCCCTCCTACGGTCGAGAAATTCGAGTACGGTCGACCGGTCCGCGACTCTGTCAGCACCCTGGTGAACACGATCGATCAAATCAGGAAGTACACGGCCGACAATTCGCCGAGGCACGTCTACCACACGACGGGAACGCAGTGGGAGGATTTCGATCCGAAGAATTTGATAAGGAAAGCCCAGCTCACTAGGGCGTTGTTCAATAACGATCTGAAGGATCCCGCCACGCGTAACAGGAATTATATCAACCGGCTGGATGAATCGGATTCGATCGTTCGAGGGAAATGCGAGGTGGACGCTATTAGAAAGTTGGTGAAATATTGCGCGATCGAGTCGATTAAAAAAACTCCTTTGATCGACGCGATACTGTCTGATTCCCCGATTTTGGGGAACAAAACGAAGCCACAGAAACAGGACTCGGTTGCGTATCGGGAAGACGAATCCGATTCCAAGGAACACGATTTGTACGTCGAGATGAGCCCTTTAGTACCTGTCGAAAATGTTAAGGTTGTACATAATAATTTATCCGAGAGCGTTGTTGTATCGTCGAGCGTTATCAGTACCGATCATGCGAGCATCGGCCGCGGGGATGCTGTACCAAATATCTCGACGGGATCGATCAAGGCCGATTCCGATGACGCGGAGAGGACCGAACAATCGTCTGAGAAACGTAGGAAAACGATCAATTATCCGAGACGAAAGTTTTCGCTGTTAAAAGAGAAATTCGAAACGAAGTCTCAACTGGTTTATGTGGTCACTCCGAACAATGCTATTAAGATAGGACAGTCGGCCATCTCTTCCGAGCTGGATACATCGAAGAAGAACGTTTCAGTTCTATTGAAAAAGACCACGGATGTCTCCACGAGACACGATAAAGAGAATTTAGCCCCCGCAGCGTCGTTGAACGTCGCTCACGCGACGATCACGGCAAATGATGGATCTCATACGAATCGGGAAACGATTCAGGAAAACGAAAAATCGTTGTGCAATACCGATTTAAATTTAAAGGAGAGGAGGCATATATTCTTGGAGCAGGTCTTGTCGCCCCCGAAACTGTTGACTTGGAACAAACGGAAATCCCTAGTCGGTTCGGCCGTGAAAAAATTCTAGAGAACCCGGCCAATTAGGGATTTATGTTTCAATTCGATTTACTTATTCCCATCTTACGAGCTCCGCCGTAGAGCTATCCTCGTGAGGGTGATATTTACTTCTTAGGTTTAACTTTATTAAATCAATGTCTTCCCGTCATGTTTCTGTCGGTTGTCGATTTTTTTGTCAATCGGATAAACAACGAAAAAGGTTGTATCATGTACTCTATTCCATTTTATTAAGTATGTAAATCAATTGCATTGTTGCCAAGTACGATAATACATTATACAATATTACAGATCTGTAATAATTATACATATGAAAATTATTTTTATATACAACGATGTTATGTATAATAAAAGACTTTTTTTTACATAATAATATATGTATAATATATGTATATATATATTTTTTTTTTATTTTTTAAATGGCACTGGAAAACGTTGCATGTCGTCGCGATACATAGAGAAACTACAATGAGCATTGGAACGAATTTGATAAATGTCGACATTTAAAAGATTCTCTGGGAACAGCGCAGGTATAATAATACAAAATAATCCTATCTTTTAATATGAATGCGACATACGGTATATGTATGTATGTTTGTTCTCCTACACCTTAATATTCGTCAACGTAACTGTTATCAGTACATTATTTACTCTACACTATAAAACGCATGATTAATTACCGTTTACTTCATGCTTAGATTTCGTTTCTACGCACACGCATTTAATTACACTTTTCACTCGAGTGATCCTGTGACACTTTAACGAGCAAAATAAAAAAAGAATAAATAATAAGGGCAGGCGATGCCAGAAAGAATTAAATTAACAAACTAGTCAGTCTTCGCGTCCTGTCTGATATGTAATACAACGATTGGCAGTTAAACGAGTGCTGTTCAATTATCTCAGTACGAATCCCTTTTTGAACACAATATTATTGCACTAAGTTACAAAGACTTCACGTCTCCGATAAAACCAACAGTAACCTGTTTCACGCGTAGAAATCGTAAAAAAAAAAAAAAAAAAAGAATCGTTGGCATTTGCAAAATGCAATTTGTAAACGCATCGTGAACGTATACAATTATTTCGTATACAAAATTCTGTTCGTTACGTTCAAATTAAAGTGCTCTGACCGGTACTCACATTTCCATCGTATTTTTTAATCCATTTGATGTGACATATCAGCGGCAGGCTCCGCAGATTGTTGCATACTCGTGTCCCGAGAGATAATTTCCGTAATTCTTGAGCAACTTGTTGCAACGATTTGCCCTTCGTTTCCGGGATAAGTAGAAAAACGTAACATACAGTGACCAGACACATGAAACTATAAAACAGATACGATCCGGCCAGTGTTAATGATTCTGAAATGAAAAAAAAAACCCAAATTGTACGTATGGGTAACGGCATTTACACTTTAGTATTATCGAAAGAAACTCACTGATCATTGCGATCACCGATTCAGTGGCGATAATATGCGTTACAATTATTACGATGGAAATGAAACTGATGCATCTTCCTCGTATCGCTGCGGGGAACACTTCCGTAAGATTTAACAGCGGCACAGGACCAAGTCCTAAAGCGTAGGCTGCCTCATAGACGAGCAACGTTATTACCGCTAGAATACGTAAACCGCCGGTGAGCCCCTCGGATACAACAATATTTTGCGTCTGCAATGGTAATCACATTGGTCAAACGTATCCACGTGCGTCAATTAGGTTTCTTAACCCTGATCCGTCCCTTGTGTCAAATTTGACAGTTTTTTCCTAAGAAATTACGTTATTCTGTCACGTGTATGTAAATTTAGCTGAGACTTCGTGATGTTTACTTTAAAGAATTTGTAAATTTAACTATTTATCACTTGATTGTATTAATTTTTATCACTGATTCAATTTTACACCAAAGGAACAAAATAAGTTGGGGAAGACGGATGAGGGTTAACTCGAGGAAAATGTGTATACTTCGCAGGATGATTTCACTTGAGTCCATGTTTCTGGACTAGGAGCTGTTATGGCCAGCGGAGTCGGTAGCAACGGGAACGGTGGCGGAGATCCAGCCGGCATAGCGGTTTGGAGTTTAATTTCCTCGTTATGGTAGTTTTTACAGCGAGGAATTAATACGTCCGTGGTATCGTCGCCTCTGTCTATTGTAGCCAGTAACGACAACAACGATATCGTTGTCATGCATATAGTTGCTGACGTAATCAGCGCCGTTCGACGTCCGCATCTTTCCACTACGATCAACGAAAGCATCGTGCTGAACACCTTCACAACGCCAAGAGATATTAAAGCTGTGATTTCAGCAACATCTGTAAAACGCAATTATGTACAGAAGGGACATGTTGCTTTCCTTGGGTAAGACCCAGTGGAATTTCAACACTTACTCGAACAGATGCCCAACAACGCGAACAATCTCGGCGCGTAATACAAGACTTGCCGTTTACCAGTGCCCTGTTGCAATATCAATAAGAACACCATGATTGTCATTATTTTGAGAATCGTGTTCCAAGGATTCTGCGAGGGTGTCTTGGACACATTTGCCATACGTTTGTAGAGCAAAAATGGCGGTGATCGTTGGAGAAATATTATGGTAATAATACAGGCGGCCAAGGCGGGAACAGCCGTTATACCGATGGAAAATCGCCATTGGTAGTCTATACTTTTTACAGCTGCGGCGATGACAGACATCAGAAATCCGATAGCTGTGCCCAACTGATACAACATTACATTGTATCCGCGTATATTCGAGTCGGAGACTTCTGCCATATAAATGCAATGCGCCACAGCTGAAACGGTTCCCGAATAACCGCAAATTATTCGCGCGACCAGAAGCAGAATGTAATGATTCGCCAGTGCGGATAACGTAGCACCAAAGGTTAGAAACAGCATTGTTAATATCATGATCCAACGTCGGCCGAACGAATCGATTAAAAAGCCTGTAATGTAACATTGATATTACATCTTGTATTGTTATATGGAAATGTGTTTAACACATTCAAGACCGATCTTTCATAGCAAGACTATCCCCTGCAACTGGCAACAGTTTCTACGAGACCCATGAGTTGAGTTATTGGCTATATGGGTAACATGTCACCCGACTCACATGCTGAGCCATCGGTCTTGAACTTGTCGGATGGGTGGTTTTATAAAAAATTGTGCAAAACGTACCACCGGTTAAACCACCAAGAAGAGCCCCAATAAACCAGATACTAATAACAAAGTCTCTTTCGAAACAATGCAAGTTGAATTCATGTTTAATTAAAGGGGCTATAGGCTTTGCTACACCCATGTCACATCCGAAAGCAATACCTGCTAGAACTGCAACCATGGAAACAAAAACATTTTGATTTCTCGATGTTAACGGTGTTAAATTATCGTTTTGCTTTGGAATTGGCTTTCTCAAGCTCGTTGGAGGCAGGCACTGATAATCTTCGTTCGGAACTTTGTTTACATACATTTCGATCGTTTTATTTGCATTGTTTAATAGTATCGCTGTGTCTTCTTCGTCCGACATTATTCTTTAATGCAACAACAACAACAACAAGTATAGCAAATTTACATGAAGACAACCGGTCTCGAGTCCTGAAACAATCATATTGACTATAAAATTTACACACTTCGTGAGTTGTTGAAAAAATCGTTACGACTGTATCGTTAAGGATATGTGGTTAAGCTGTCAATCTAAATATACACATTGTTATCTTTGACATTACATACTAGGGTTCGCAACACACATGTATTTCGGTTACTATTCGAGCTCCAAACAATGTGGGAGGCAACAATAATATTGACAGAAGACTCCCGCATATTCTTTCCATTTGTACGATCGACTAGTACAGCAGAAAAATTAGTTTCAGCGTGATACTCACTACTCGTAAGAAACAACGTTACATCAATCACAATCACTGCTTGAAGTACTTTTGAGTATTTGACATTTGCTGCTTTAAACTCGACAATGCGTCAATTGACAGTTCTAGAGAGCATTCAGATCCGTAGCGCCATCTTGCATAGTTTTAGAAATAAAGGAGATCATGTGTGCGCAAAAGCGAGGAACAGTCCTAAGTTTTACCGCAAATTTCGGCTTAATTTATGTATTTTACGCTTTAGTTTGAGAGTTTGTTGAAGAAGAAGCTCCATAGGAAACCCAAGGAAACCGTCGAAAACTCGATTGGTTCGTAATTCTTTAATCAGGGACTACGGATCCATGGAGCTGGATCGCGAATTTGACAACATTCTCGTAATTCCTTTCTATTAACAATTTCTCTCGCTCAACAATTACTGTCCTGATCATAAGATCGGCGATGCAAATAGCGGCAAAAATTACTTTTGTAATAAAAAAAGCCACGTCCTTTAACAGACTGCGCCATCCGTGGTAAAATATTGAAACTGGTAAATAAGCATTACCATCTATCGGACAGGAACGTGTACGAATTGGCTATTAGCTTGCTCATTTTGCCGCCGATGGCGCCACCAGTCTTCGTAGCACATTATTTTACGTGCCATAAAATAAAATATTGTTTAATGTCAAGGACCATATCATTCAAACGTCGATCAAAGAATTCTTGCTGTTTTACAAATTTTTACGATATTCTCGCATAAAACTGTACTAAGGAAAGCATACTCTTAAGCCGTCTTCAAGGCGTTATGTGCTATCTGGGAGACAGAATGGTCGCAGTAGGTTTGAGCTAGTTCAGTTTTGACTGTTGACGTTTGGGTGAGGGGCGGCAGTTCGTAGCGATTAGAAGTCTCGATTCGAGACTCTCGAATCTTTCCACAGATGTCGCAGTCAGTGTCTTTGGCGTGGCTCCGCCCTTGGAATGCGTCGCGCGCTACACGACCAATACTACTAGAGTTAGTCGGCTATCGGACTCGAGTCGGTTGGGATAATCATCGCGAATTCTGTCCTTTTCGTGGCTACGGGTTGCCACACTCGGGCATTGCTGCGCACGGTGGTTCATCAATGAATAATTGGACAGTTTGTCGCATACTGAGAACCACTGACGTTTCGTATAATTCATGCCAAGGCGGAGACGAGCGCTCCGTAGGTGTGTGATGTGGTTCAATTTGGAGACTTCCTCGACTGTCGCTCGGGGATATTCAGAGATCGTATGCGAATTCTGTGCCGGGGATAATGGTGGTAACGTTAACGACTCGTTAATGCCACTGGTAACGCGAAAACGATCGTAACAACGGGAGTGCCGGTGAACGAAGTAGTAGTAGTAGTGTTGTTTGGTGATCAATGAACTCTGCGTTGCTGTATGTTTGGGGCGTGCTGCCACTATTACCTATTAAGCCGGCAGACGTATGTATGAAAAAATCTCTATCACGCATATTATTTCTTATCGTTTCGTAATGCCGTTCAACCGATTCTTTCACCCCGAAAGAACATTTCCAGCCCCGCCTTGTTCACTGTTCGATTCCCTTCGTTTCTTCGTCCCTTCGTACAGCTCGTATATTAGTGTTTCTTCGGAACGATCGTTCGATTCGCTTATATTCTCGTTTCCGAGTTCCGTATTAGAAAGCCCGTTGAATAGCACGGGCTAACGAGGTGGACGATTAACGGTACCACTGTGGTGCATTCGGGATTTCAAGATCGTTCATTGATCGGCAAATCAACACTTTCCACCCTTTAAAACGTAGCCAATCTCTTAACATATTCCATTAGCACTATTCGATCGACAGTGTAATCGTAGAGCTTGACGTAACATCGCGCGTCGACGACTCTTCTCTTGAAGATACGCGACGAGTGGACCGTACGGAATGATAAGTAACGCCTCGCACGTAACAGCATTATGAATGATGTAAACAAATGTGAGTGATAATGTTCATTTTCTCTATTTTTTTACTTCACTGCGATAAGAGGTTCGATTAGTCGTTTACATAATCCTTGCCATTGACTTATTTTCCATATTCATGGATACAGCTTTTTTTCTTAATTCTAATTATCCTTAGTAAAATTCTCTTGGCGACTTATAGGAAAAATTTCATGCGGACGAAATGTGTAATTCCTGTAATGTCCGCGGGATACTGCTGCGTAGTTGCGTATTAATTTGAAAACGCGAGGAGCGGAACGAATGAAACCGTTTCGAATTTAACCCTCCTTAGTTTCAAATTCACCTGTTAATTTTTTTAACGACAGTACTGTGCCTGTGAAGTGTATTCTCGAAAATGTTCGTGTGCTTGATATTCTGTTGCAGATGACAACGTAATAGAGAATTATACGTAAAATTTTTGATAGAAAAATAAAGACAACTGGTCCCTGTACGGTTGAAGGTAGATGACTGAAGATGAATGACATAGAAAGCATAAGCATGAAGGGGAGCGGAGGATCTAAGATGCCTCATAGCCATTCAACCCCAGCAGGTGTAGACGGGGGTAGTAGAACTCCTCCCACAACACCTAGGAAAGCTGGGAAAATGCTTGCTGTTCGTGTACAAATGTTGGATGATACTATTACAATGTTTCAAGTTCAGGTAACATTTGTTTGGCATACCTCTCGTGTAGATGATAAAGTACATTAAACTCTGTCAAGAATACTAGTCAATATAGAATTTGATATTTTGAGACTTTATGATATTATTCCATCTTTGTTGGTCTGCGACCCCTTCAAATGTTCTTGAACATTTGTAAACGTTTGGGCAAGTACTTTAACGCGTTGGCTTAATTCTATAATGGCAAGTAATTGACTGTACTTCTACAATAGGGTGTTTAACAAGCACAGATGAATAGAACGCTTAGGATCCAGCTTTACAATAAATGTATGAACCATAAAGGATGTTGAATTATTCTATTAATATCTGTAATAATGATTTTGTTTTATTGACAATTTGAAAAGAAAAAGTTTGCAAAATACTTTGTCAGATTTTTCTACATGGTCAGTGTCATATGGTGAATAGAAATTATGGGTCATCGACTATAAAACACCTGGACCATTACTTTTAAGATGGTTTTTATAAACATTTTGAAATAAATTCTAGCGTATTGTACAATTACTAAAATAGCAAAAAAGAATTCACTTGAAATAAAACAAGACAGCTTGAATAAAATAACACAGAATACATATGTACGTATTATTTTGTACATTACTGAATTATTTCCTTTATAATGCATCTTCTTTACACAGTAAAATCATCTACCATATAATGTACACGCATATAACACTTTTAAACGAACTATTGGAGCATATAATTGGTTATACTATATTGCACTGGGTACATGTATTGACGTATTGATTATTCATAAAGGCTTACTTAGAGTATCCGAAACATATTTTCACTTACCTTAGATATTACTTCAACAAAGTAATGTGAATATACGGAGAACACAGGATGATAATACATTACTGGACACATGGAACCGATAAAATCTGTTATTGCAGATACATTAAAATCGTTATTCTTTTTGTATTGAAATTCTAGGCCAAGGCATTGGGCAGAGTATTGTTCGATCAAGTCTGCAAACAGTTACATCTCTTGGAGGCTGATTATTTCGGACTCGAGTATCAAGAACCTAATGGGACTAAAGTAAGACTCTGAATTGCGCATGGATCCACGTTGGCGAAAGAGTCTGTTACTCAAACGACGCGTTTTAATTGCAGTACTGGCTAGATTTGGAGAAACCCGTTTGTAGACAAGTCGGGCTATCGTTGATAGATCCACTTTTGAGATTTTGTGTCAAGTTTTATACACCCGATCCAGCGCAACTGGAGGAAGAGTTTACGAGATATTTATTTTGTCTCCAAATCAAGCGAGATCTGGCTCAAGGTTTGCTCCAGTGCAACGATAATACGGCAGCTCTGATGGCCAGTTACATTGTCCAGGGTGAGTGAATCGTGTGGCAACGGATTCCCGTAAATTATTGTTTGGCAAGGGGGCATTTTGGTTTCGAAATCCATCGATCGTTTCAGCGGAATGCGGTGATTACGTAATTGAGGATTATCCGGATCATACGTACTTGTCGACTTACAAATTTGTGCCTCATCAAGATCAGGAACTAGAGCGTCGCATCATGGAGAATCATAAAAAGCACGCGTAAGATAGATTTCGATGAATTTTACTTTTTGTTTTGTTTCTTTACCACGATCGAGTTTGTTGAAACCGTGTTTTCTTTGTTTTTTTTTTTTTTTGTTAACAGAGGTCAATCTCCGGCAGAGGCTGACTTGAATCTACTGGAGACGGCGCGTCGTTGCGAGTTGTACGGAATGAAGATGCATCCGGCGAAAGTAAGTGTCGTTTATTTTTCACTTCGCTGTGAGACTCGATAAAAAGATTAAAAAAAAAAACAGCTGTGTGAACGCACCATTGTTCGTTGAAGGATCACGAGGGCGTGCCGTTGAATTTGGCGGTGGCCCATATGGGAATCGTAGTTTTTCAAAATTTCACGAAAATCAACACGTTTAGTTGGGCGAAAATCCGGAAGATCAGCTTCAAAAGAAAGCGATTTTTAATCAAACTTCATCCGGAGGGATACGTGAGTAGATACAATATTCCGGTGCACGTAAGAGGCGCCGTGTAATACGAACGAATCCGCGTGTAACCGATCGATCGTTCGAAATTCCAGGGTTACTACAAGGACACGGTGGAGTTCTTTTTCGAGGGCCGTAACGAGTGCAAAAATTTTTGGAAGAAATGCGTCGAGAATCATGGATTTTTCCGTTGCTCGGTGGTGAAACGAGTGATGCGGCAGAAGACGCGAGTCTTGAGCCGTGGTTCGTCGTTCAGGTATGTTGAGTACACATCCGAGGTGCAACGGAAAGAAATCGGCGGCGATGTCGCGTGCGAATCGAATTAACGAGTTTCGTTGATGTTCCGTTATCAGGTATAGCGGGAAAACGCAAAAGCAAATCGTCGAGTTCGTGCGGGACAATTACGTGAAAAGGCAAACGTTTCAAAGGTAAGTCGAACCAGCGATACCGGGAATATGTTGTTTGACGATTGAACCAACTCTTGGATATGTATATGTATATATTGTATATACAATATATACAATATACATGTATACATGTGTATGCGTACCAGTAATGCGTAGATAGTGCATGCGTACCGTTATTTGTACTGTTCCCTCCCTTTTAACGTTGGTTTCATACCATTCAGATGTATATTTTAATTAACGAGCGCACTGAATCTTGCGTGGGTAAGACGGGTAGGTGGCACGGTCTTGCTTTTGCCGGGACAATTAATTGGTATTTATCGTCGTTGCTCCAATTTCCGTAGAATGAAGCGTGTTTCACTCTCTGTACGTTTTGTACTTCCGTTTGTCAGTGTTGCCTGCTCGGACAGGGGTGGCGGGGAGTCAGGCTCACCATCAGGCACGATAACCCGAATGATCGATGTACCCTCTTTTCGATATAATGTGGTCACTAATTCTCGCCATTTTATAACACACCTCTAACGATACACTGTGCAAAGTACGATATACAGGGTGTCCCGAAATAGCTTCGACTCCCGGAAATGAGGGATTCCTGGGTTGATTCACACAATTTTTTCCATAGAAAAATGTTTGCTGAGGAAAAACTTGTTTCAAATCACCTCACGAGTCTTCCATTCCCGGGTCCTCCAACATTTTTGTTACACCCTGTATATATATATATATATATTTCACTGTCCCGACCGTTGCATCATTATTTGTTTCTTTGTTTTCTTATCAACGTGCGACACATCTGCGTGTACATGTCCAAATAGCGGTAGATTACTCTACGATAGAATATTTAGATCGATTCACACTTTCCTTACGATAATCTCATCCTTGCACATACACGTACGTTACTTGATGGGTGTCACGCGATCGTGTTTTCTCATTGGTAACGCGGATCTTGTCGCGGTCGCGTTAACAACGGTTCTTATACAAGGCGACCAGTAGGACAGAGTAAAGTCATTCTTGTTTCGTCGACGAAAGCAACGATTTATTTAACGAATTAGGAAACAACGTGCAAGCGTAAGGATCTATCAGTAAACGTTTCTACGAAAGATGCATGGCATCCTTATCGTTTTGAGGGCGTGATCGGTTATCGAAGGAACCGTCTCGAATTACAAAATTTACAATTCTTCTCGGGTAACTTTGTTTTATTTTTTTTTTATTTTTTATTTATTTTGTATCGCGACACTGATGACTGTATATTCAGTGCCGGCGCCAGGTTATTTTGCGCCCTAGGCCAAGCTAATTATCTCGCCCCCTATTTTACAAATTAATTACGTTTTCTTTTAAAATTGAAATTGTAAAAAATTTTTATTCAGTACGTTAAACAAAATACTATTATTATTATTATACAGGGTGAACCACGAATCGTGATCAGTAGAGAATACTCTGTTATTAACAGTCCGATCGAAAATGTTTTTATCAGGTATAGCATGGTTTCAAGAGAGCTATAACGTGATTATAGCAAATTTTTGTCAACTCTTTTTTTTTTTCATGATTTTTCAAGGTCGCCTTCAATTCTCTTTCGAAGATTCAATTAAAGAAAAAAGTAACACATGTTATGATACTTACCGAATTGGTCTTCAAATCCTTTAACAGATAGGCGTAAAAAAATGATAGGTGTATTTGCAAAAAAATTAAAGGTGACCTTGAAAAATCATGAAAAAAGAAGGGTTGACAAAAAATTTGGTACAATCACGTTGAAGCTCTCTTGAAACCATGCTATACCTGATAAAAACATTTTCGATCGGACTGCTAATAACAGAGTAATCTCTACTGATCACGATTCGTGGTTCACCCAGTATATACCTCACCCGGATGAATTGAATTGAATTAAATTAAATTAAATTATCATTATATCTGCTATCGTTCAATGAAACCGGCTGGATTTTTGCGCCTTCTCATGGTTTACGTCCTAGGCGACCGCCTAGGACGCTTTAATGGTAGCGCCGGCCCTGGGTATATTAATTAAAATATACTATACGAAGCGAACCCTTGAAAAACGATAACGGTGTTGCCGATCGATCGAAGCGCGCGTTCAAAGAGCTACCGCGTGTTACGACGTGATGCGAGACGGTGGTATAGATTGGGAAGAGAGGATGAGAAAAAAAAAAAAGAAGTATAAGTTAGTTCTGAAACAGGCTTGGCAATATGGTAGCCTAAGTCTGATGCTGAACTTGACTCTCTCTTGCTCGCAGGTCCAATTCGTTCCGGCAGACTAGCGGTGGTAGGGCATTGCAGGGCTTGGAGGGGGGAGGCTATCGTGGGGCCACTCCAAGCAGCTCCCTTATGGGCAGCTCCAGCATCTCTGCCCACCCCCTCCTGCCCCTCGGCGATCCTGGTATGTACACCATGACCGACACCAACCTCCACGAGAAGAAAAAAGAAAGAAACAAAAAGAGAAACGCTTTGTTTTTCATACACTCGCTATCTCTTGTTCGCCTATCTTTATCTTCTCAGTTTCTCATACTTGGTTACATCTATATACATATATATATATATATATCTCTCTCGCTCTCTCTGTTTCCGTTCTATCGTTCTTCCGTTTACTCTGTCGTTCCTCTCTGTCTTTCTCTCTCTCTCTCTCTCTCTTTTCGTTCACGTTCTTTAGCGTTAAATTTTCTTTTCGAAGTATCGTGCATAAAGAGTAATATCGTAAGCGTAGAGAGTAGCTTAGCGTGTTACGAACTTAGAACCGCTTCGCAAACGACCAAACATCCGGAAATCGGGCTCAATAGAGAGCACGTTGTTCCGTTCATACGTCGGAACCGAAGATCTCTCCGAGTCGTTGCAACCGCGGTGGTCGTTCTCGGTATTCATCGACTCGTCAAGATCCTTCGGGAAACGACAGAGAAAGAAAAAAAAGAAGAAACCTGGAATGACGCGCGCTAGATCGAATAGGGGTGGGGGAATAAGGTCGGCGAGAAGCGTAGCAGGGGCTCGCGAGATAACGGGGACGGATACATGCGACGGAAAATTCAATATAAACCTATGTATATATATACATATATATATATATTTCAGCCCTGGAAACCCCAGCTCTGTCTCTGTCATGCGGCTCGATGACACTGGATTCTCCGACGACTGTGACGAGTGTCTCGATGGGAGGGACGATTCACCGTCGCGAAGACACAGCTACGTCGTTTCGGACACTTACGTCCATCGACGTTCATTCCCCGGCCACACCCAGCCAGGTCCAAGCACCGCGACAGATGCTTGTTACCAGCCATCAACGGATTTCATCAGCAGGTCGTATCAGCCCCTCTAACAGCAGTCCCCCTGAATTCCCACCGCCGCGACCCATGCCCAGACATCCCTGGCAGCGATCGGCCAGTTGCCGTGAATTGTACGCCTCGAGTTTCGAGGATTCCGGGAAAGCGCGATCGAAGGACGAGAAACCGATCAACGCCGCTGGGGAGACGGTCCTCTTGGAACCGTTCCGGTTGCCCTCGCAAGGGGAGCTGGATAATCCGGTGACGCGGTACGACGAGAGCAATCGTTCGTACAGCGCCGCCAGCTCGAAATTGCCCTCGTTGGACCACGACTCGGTACCCGAGCGCGTCTACAGCAGCTCCTATCCGGGTACCTCGTCGCTGTCCACCGAATCCGGCCACGAGGAGTCCGGCCCGGCTGGCGATCTGTCGCACGACGATCTATCGCACGACTCCTACGAGCTTTTGGAACGCGAGCACGAATTTGAGTATCCGGAATCGTATTCCAGTCCGCGGGACGACGAGGATGAGAACGAGGAGGAGGAGGATGAGGAGGAGGAGGAGGAGGAGGACGAGGTGGCGGGTGACGGTGACGAGGACAGAGACGGGGACGGGGAGGACGAGCCGATTTCGGACCGTAGCGACGAAGGAATCGAGCGGGAGATGTTCCAAATGGACGCCGAGACCGATTCCTTCGTCAAGCACCGGACGATCAAGTCCGCGGAGAAACAGCAATTCAAATCCGTGCTCGCGGACCTTAAGAACGCGACTCGAACAAAGTCCATCGATCGGTACACGACGGTAACCGCGGAACTCGACGCCACTGACTATGTGACCGTCGAGTCTAGGATACAGCGATCCAGCACGCAGATCGAGCGAAAGTTCGAAACACGACACGCCAATTCGGTGGTGGAACCACCCCCACCGCCACCTCCGCCGCAGCAACCGGTGCTGCAAGGATCGCCGTTGCCGCAACAAATATCGAATCTGTTGCACCTTCCGCATCAGGATTCCGAGCGTAAAGATCCGGTCGTGTTGCAGATACAGAAGCAAAAGATGTGCGTGCTGAACGAGCTGAAAAATCTGAAGCCCAAGTATAAGATCACGCACGTGGACTCGGAGGTGTTGCGGGACGAGGGTATAATGCGTCCGAAGTCGCGGATAGACGACGACTCGAGCCCGGTCGAGTCGTCCAACCGAACGATCGCTGATCGACGGGTCAGAACGGTACGAGCGCGTAGCATAGCGAGCCTCGAGGATCACGTTCCACGGACTTATGTGGAGACAGGCAGCTTAGGCAGGGGTCTTAGGAATCGGGAAAAGAAGGGCCGCGACAGCGACGCGAAGCTCGAGCGATCGTTGTCGAAGCTGCAGGAGAAGGAGCGTCGCAGGAGCATGGATCGAGGGGATTCGCGGGAGTACGTTAAAAAGACGGATAAATTCGGCGGTATGCCCGGCGAGACCAGGGAACGTCGACGGTCGATCGAACGATTCGATTATAGGGAACATCGTCGAGCGGACGGTCACGGTCGGCGTAGTATCGATCGGATCGATCTTAGGGAGCTGAGGAGGAGCATCGAGCGATTGGACGTCCGTGAGAGGAGCTACGAACGATTGGATTCGAAGGAGAGGAGTCCGCACGAGCTACGGAGAAAGAGCTTCGAGCGTCTAGACTCGCAGGGACTGCGCACCAGCAACGAGTACTTGAACAGAAGCCCGAAGGAGAGGCACCGTTGCTCGGAGTCGCGCGAGCATCGCGAGAGAAGCATCGAACGGTTGGACTCGCGCGAGAAAAGGAGAAGTCCTGGTAGCAGAAGCAATACCGTTGATTACAATCAGCGACACACATTGGAGAGATTCGATTCAGGTAACAGAAGCCCGTTCGAGCGATCGACCGCGAAGGAGCAGCGCGGCAGGAGCGTCGAGAGGCTCGACGCCGCTGAGAGACCGACCTTTGACTTCGATCCCGTCACGATCGAGCGGCTAGAGTCGCTGGAGCGTTGCAACTCGAGGGACCGTGCTCAGGATCGCAGGTCCGAGATGAGAAGCGGCGAGCGCAAGAGCATAGAGCGACTGGACTCGCGGGAGCGAAGGCATCTGGAACGAACGGAGTCGCGGGAACGTGGAAAGCACGCGGAGAACACGCGGGCTGGAAGGAGTCTGGAGTGTCTGGAGCACGAAATTTATGAGTGGAGGCGAAGCAGCGTCGAGAAGATCGAGGCGAAGGACGCGAAAAGGAGCAAGGTGGCGGCTGCGCGGTCCGAGAAGGGAAAACTAGAGGAGAAACCGCGAGAGAGGGACGATTGGAGGAGCCTGGAGAAGGCGCGAAAGGACGAGGAGAAACGGGAACGGGAACGACAGTCGAGGCTGTCGCTGGAGTCGAGAACGGAAACGGTGATAGGCGTGCCGTTGGAGATGGAGAACCTGAAGAGCAACAAGACCGTGTTCACCGAGTACGAGCCGAAGATCGTCGGTGGCGTGGTGCTGGGTTTCGACGACACGATCCCCGGTCACACGCCCGTAGAACGCACCAAAAGCGATCCGAATCCCGCCAGACAGAGGCTCGGATCGAACAGCAAACGGCACATCCTGATGCATCAGAAGTCCATCGATCTGACGCCCGCCGATTCCGGGGACGAGGATCCTTTCTCGGACAGCGCGGCCATCCAGAAGGCGAACATCGAGATACCGTACACTCTGCACAAACGTCACGTGATGAACGGAACCGCTTCCGACGAGAAGTCCGAGTCCGACAGCGGCAAAACCACGAAGAAACCGCCGCCGGCAGTGGTCGTCGCCAGAGAGCTGCCCAAGCTGCCGTTGAAGCTGATCGCAGACGTGACGTCGTTCGATCTGTCCAAGCTGACCTCGATCGAGAAACCCGGCAGCAAATTGTCCCCCGAAAAGCCCGGCAACAAACTGTCCCCAGAGAAGCCGAAGAGCACCACGATCTCGCCCACCAGACCGAAATCGATACTGATCAGTCCATCCGAGAAACAGAAAAGCATCCCCAGTCCCACGTCGAAATTGTCGCCAACTGACACTGCAATGGCGAAAACGATCCTTTGCAGTCTTTCGCCAACAAGCAGAAGTCCGTCGAAGCCAAGCTCGAAGGCTCCCTCGCCCGACAAGAAATCCTCTCGATCCGCCTCCTTCGATCGGAGTTGCGTCGTCGAATCTAGTCCCGGCGATCGGCGACCCACACCGTCGCCGAAATTGTCCCCGATCGAGCCGAACGTCACAATTGTCACGGCGATCGAGAGACGCTCGCCGAAGGTGTCGCCAACCGATCCGAACGTGACCATCGTCTCGGTGATACAGAAGAGAAAGTCGCCGGACAGCAACAAAGTATTGGGCATTGCGCAGAGGTCGTTGGACTCGAGGACGAAGCCTCGAAATTTCGCGGACGTTGTCGGAATGGAGATGAAGATGAAGCTCGAACGGAAGGCCAAGTCTGAGGTCGAGAAGGACAGTCTGAAGATGCCGGATGATAGTTTAGAGAAGCAGGACAGCATCGAGAAAATTCCGTTGCCCGAGATTCCGGCGCCGATTCTGCCGAACGCGGAGATGGAAAGGATCGAAGACACGGGGAACGAACAACCGACGATGGAGCCTGTTGTCGCGACCACCACGACGACCAGTCTGCCCTCTGGAAAGCCGAAAGTTCCCGAGAAACCGAAGAACCTCGAGAAACTGAGCATCCCAGAGAAGACTAAACGGATCCTCGAGAAAATCGAGTCGAAGTTCTCGGAGGCGAACAAGTGTTCCTCGACGAGGATCGCCAAGCCGAAGATCATCGACACAGGGTTCGACGATTTCGTCGATCCTGTCGCCGATCTGCCATTGGACGAGGTGCCTGTAAAGCCTGCGTTAGAATTGGACAGTCTGAAGGTTCCTGAATTCGTTCCGTTCGCGTCGAGGCCGCACGGCGAGCCGTTGCGATCGAAGTCGTTGTCGCTGGCCGAGGAGAAAGCACCGATCGACACTCTCCTGTCGCCGGAGGTCGAGAACAAACATTTTGTGCCGGACGTGTCGCCGAAACGAGCGAAGAAGGTCCGTTCGGAGACGAAGAAGGACTTCAAGAAACAGTCAAAGTCGCTCGAGGGCGACAAGCCACCGTTGAAGAAGGCTGCTTCGAAGGAGTCCCGGATGCCGGCCACCAGCACCAAGATCGACAAGTCGAAGCTGAAGTTGGGCGAGATGCCGCAGGAGATCATCATAATCGACTCGACGGATGTGGTCCCGGAGGTGAGCATAGTTCAGAAGGGACGATCGAAATCCGTGGGCAGACTGCCCGAGAAGACGTATTCCGCGTCCAGGGAGGAGAAGGACGAAGCAACGGTGGCGACCAAGGGTACACGTGCGAAGTCTGCGTCCGTGGACGAGGATCTGATCAAGGTAGTAGCGGGAACGAGGCACGAGAAGGTCAGGCCGAAGTCTCTGGGCATTTCGAAGAGTCTGGGCAGCACGGAGAAGAAGGACTCGACCGAGAAGATATCGCCGAAGAGAACCATGGCCGCGAGAACCGGTTCGAAATCGGAGACCAAGTCGGCAGACCAGTCGCGAACGCCCGTTGGGTCGTCGAAGGACAGCGTCAGGCAGGAGTCAAAAGTGTCTCGAACTAAATCTGAAGCGAAAGTAGACGTCGGTGAGGGCGAACGACAGCCCAGACGGGAACAACAGGAAGCGAAACAGGAGACGAAACCATCCTCGGAGCAACAGCAGTCGATCGATCCTCCAAGATCCTCGGAACAGCCCGGTAGCAAGGATGCAAAGGATACGAAAAAGAGCGCAGTTCCGCAAGATCTGACGCAGTCCCCAACGGTGGTTTTACGGAAATCGGGCCAGACACCTGTTCTTTTTGCTCGGGCACGCCTCGGTCTCTCGGAAGGCAGCGGAATCGGCGCGTTGCAGAGGCAAGGCGCCACCCAATCGCCGACCTCGCAGAGGCGAGCTAAGTCGCTGGACGCTCCGGTGATCGCTGTGCACAGATTACCGCCGGCGAATGCATTCTCCAGCAAAGACGACACCGTGGACGTGTCGGAGAGTCGGGAGGAGGACCAGGAGTACCGATCGGCGGACATTCGTGAGATGATCGGCCTGGAAGCAGAGACACCGAGCGCGAATTTCGCCTCCAAGCCGCAGTCGTCGGTTCCATTCGAGGCGTCGCCGAATCACAGATCGGACAGCACCGATCACACCACCGTGCCGGAGATCTTCACGGACTCGTTGTCCGTCACCGAGACCTCGGCGCAGTATCTGGAATCGCCGTTGACGGAGTGCAACGAGATCATCGCGACGACGGTTGACTTGATCCCGTACGAGAGGGACACAGCGGGGACGGAGTACGTGGATTCGAACGGGAAAGAACCGAGTATCACGTTGGAGAACGCGAAAGTGGACGACGGAACGAAATTCATCGATCAGAGTTCGGTCGAGTCGGGCGCCGAGCAAGAGGTAGCTTTCGAGAGAACGGTCAGAGCGGAGAAGATCGATATGCTGAGCGTTTCGAGGACTCTCGAGGGATCTGTGCCGCAAACTACCACCACCACCACCACCACCACCACTACCATCACCCTCGAATCTACGACAACAGAAAATGAACAAGAATATGTCGATGAGACGGAGGATCGTGGGCATTCCGTCGAGCTGGAAGAAAAACCATCGATGGAGAGAGGGGAGGATCTTCCAGACGTGACCGTGATCGTAAGCGCCGCTCGAGACGACGAGGGAACGTACGGAAGGCCCATCGATTTCGATGAGAATCAAGACATGGTCAGATCGCCGATTCAGATATCAATCGAGGAATGCTCGGACGACGATGTCGGCGACGAGGACGACGATGACGATGTCGTTTCCGGTAGCGACGATCAGTACGACGAGGAGGATTATCCAGAGATTCGAGAGCTGGACGGCGACGACAATCGTCCGTTCGATTCCGGTGACACCAGCGAGGATACCTTAGACGCTCTGGACACGCAGATCCGTACCAGAGGTGGCGAAAGCGATCAGAGCTCGCCGGATTACGGCGTCGACCGGATGGACGAGAAAACGTTGGTCGAGGTCGAGCTGACGCCCGAGTATCTCGAGGCCAGACGCGTGGATGAGGCGGACGAAGAGGTAGAGGAGGAGGAGGAACTGCCGGAGGACGAGCCAGCTGGCGAGACCGCGAGACAGAGGATCGAATCGCCGGTGAACAGTGGTAATCGTTTGTCGATCGACAAGAAGCTCAGATTGAGCAGCGAACGTTCCAGAAGCGAAGAGACGAACACTTGGACGCCGGATCGGGAGGATCCCGAGTCGAGTTCCTGCTCGATCGCTCGGCCCCTCGGAATAGGACAGATTCAGCCGATCGTGGATCGACGAGAGTTGGCCGTGATTAGAGACGCACGACGATCCGTGGCCAGCGGCCGTGGAGCCGGTTCCCTCGAGGAGGAGAACAACGGTGGTTCTCACCCGAGTGGCCCGCGGGCCGAGATGAGTTCCACCTGGAAGTCTTTTCCTCTGGAGAGTTCCGGAAGCTCGAGCATAGAGGACGGCTGTTGGCAGCCGTTGGACGAGAGCAACGCCGTGCAGTCGCAATCCGAGGACAGCAACGGCCAGAACGAGGACAGCTTTCAGGAGGATCTCGCCGATTTTCCCGGAACTTTCGTCTACCCGATCGGCCCGGACATCCTGGCCAGCTGCGGTACGTTCGCGTTGACGCGCACGCTCTCGCGGATATCCGAGAGGTCGACGACCTCCGAGCAGGACAAGAGCGACTTGGAGGACTCGTTCAAGCCGAGCTCGAGATCCCCGAGCTTGGACGACGAGTCGTTGATGTCGAGCGATCATCAGCCGTCGTTGTCCTCCGATCCACCGTCCGGGACCGCTCTATCCCGATAGACGTGCTGAACGCCGCTGGCGGACTGGAGGAGGATCCCGCGAGATCACCGAAAACCACCGGTAGATCGAAGCTAAGGGCTCAGACCTCCGAGGATTGGCCGTCGCCGCCGAGTTCCCCCGTCTTCGATCCGCCCCCGCGTCATTTGGTCAGCCACGTGGAGACATATTACACGGAGATCAAGCCCGAGGAGGCGGTCAAGGTGACGGTGACCGACAGCACCGAGACGCCCGGTCGCGTGGATCGTGACAGCGATTCTAGCGACGACGAGAACCGAACCCTCCACGACGATCTTCACTCCGCATTGCTGGAGGACGGGCAGAGCTCGATGTCCGCGACCACCGTCGATGGTACCGTGGAAGAGGTGGCGGTTAAACCGAAATCGAATTCCTATATAACCGGCTCCTCGCACAGCGAGGACACGTCGATGGGCCTGTCAATGTCCGAGTGGTCCAGCTCGAACAACACCGTGCGCCAGTTCTGTCAGTATTCCGGCACCAAGTCCGACGATAATTCCCTCGCCGAGCTCGGAGCTTCGATATCGTCGGACTGGTCGGGCAGCACCACCGTAGTACCTCAACAATACTATTCCCCGATGACAGTGGAGAAAAGCCAGAGCGACACCACCACCTCTGACAAGAGCGTGACCAGCATGAGACCGAACTCCAAGTGCAAAACAGTCGACAGTCCTCCGTCGCTCACGTCCACGCCCCCTTTCCCTCCGCCGCCGCCCTCTCCGCCCCTGACTCCGCCTCCGCCGTCTTCACCGCCGCCCCTAGCGAGCCTGGACGAGCGACGGTATTCGCCGTACGACGAGGAGGCGGTCCCAAGTAGCACGGAGGACGGACGACGGTCCAGGGACGAGCAACTGGACGAGGCAAGGAGGTTTATCGAGAGCCAGTTCGACGAGCAACGTCGACTGGCTGCGGCGTCCTCGCGACGATACGACGACGATCAACAACAACAACTCTCGAGGACCTCGTACGCCGACATCTCGCCGCCGCGGATAACTCTGCGAAACGAGTTCGACGAGGCGGTCGACGAGGACGACGGGGACGAGGAGGAGTTCCGCGTGATGTCGGACGACGGGGATCCGCCTCTGCCGATCCTCGAGGAGGAGGAGGAGGACGATCGGTTGTACGACAACGTGCCCGCGATGAAGTACTCGAGCGCCGATCAGATCCGACTGGAGGTGGGTCGGCGTGGCGACAGCTCGGAGGACATGCACGAGAAATACGCGAACCTGACGACCTTGGGAACGCGTAGCCAACGACGGGACGACGAATGGTCGTTCGAGGACGATAGGCGGGAAGAGAAAGAGAAGGTATACGTCGAGAAAGAGAAAACTACGGTGACCGGTTCCGGGTCCAGGTTCGAGCGTGGTTTCTCCGAGCCGGTCGATGTCTCCAGGTACCATCACGAGACCAGATCCACCGAGCGACCGGTGATCGTACCGGTCAGAGCGAAATCGACGCCATATTACTCCACCACGAGCCTAAGCGGCGAGTCCACCACCTCCAGTCCGCCGATGCAAATACGTACGCAGATACGCACCAAAACGATGCCGTTCCCCTCGAGCAGAAGCCCTCAGAGCGAAGGAGACACGTCCTCCAGTATGGACAGTCCTGTGCACACGCCGGTCCGCGGGCAGATCGGTGTTCGTCGACGAAGACGGGAGAATCTGAAGCGACGTCACCGAGTGGTGGTCGATCTCGAGGTGAAGGACGGCCAGATCGTGTCGAGCACCGATTCCAGCTTCGACGTGGCAAGCCACGACGTCGACGACGACGATGACGAGGACGATGAGTACTCGGAGGCGAAGGACGAGCGACGAGCGTCCAGACGACAACAACAACAGCAGCGTTGACTGCTAGAGGAAGCGCTCGAAACGAACAGCTGCGTCGATAGATCCATCCTCTGGTCGATGTAACCGGTAAGGAGACTGGATCGATTAGGCGTAGTGGTTTTTCGTTTTTCCACCGATTCAGAATCGTGTTTCGATCGATTTCCCAGAGAAGTTTTACTCTGGGTCTGTCGGGCGGATGCTCGAGAGACGAATCGATCGAAACATTCGTTCACCGGTAGCGCACGATCGTTTACCGGATTTCGGTGCAACCATACACGTTTGTTGCCTAGGGAACGATTACCTCCAATCCACGGAATTGAGACGTGCTGGGATAATACTCTGTTCCCTCGTATCGACGGACTATTGCTGCTTGTTCTCCATCGTCGAGCGTGATCGTGACGAGGATCGTTTCGGTTCGATCGACGAGGGAACGAATAAGTTAGGGCGGGAAATGATATTGCAAAACGATCTAGTCTATGGTATCCCGTTAAGAGTTACTTAGATTATTACTACGGTTCGTTACACTGGTTATTAGAGAATTCGATTGTACTTTCGACGGTTCGTCGCGCGTAGAAAGGGTACACCTCGACGTGTGTACCCAACCGTTATTCGTATCATTTGTACACGTATAAACGAGCCGATACCCGACTCGGAACGATGCTACTGCACACACCTATCAAACGATATACAATTAATTAGTCTGTAAAGGTAACGAAGCAACGGTCAAAGACCGACGATACACGTATGAAATACGCGTTTCGAGATTAATAATAATCGCGGCGGTCGCCCCTGCGACCAATATACGTACACGGCGATAGAGAACGTTGCGCGCGATCGTTCAGGCAAATTTGGGGCGAGGGGGGGGGGAAGGGAAGAGGAATAATAAGATGAGTGCCGCCGATGCTGTTCGAGTTTACGAAGAACGACAATCACATTCGTTGGAAGTGGGAGAGCATCGTCGAGAGGCCGAGAAAAATAACAAATAACAAATAAATTGGCTCGTTTTCGGTTCGAGAATCGTATCCTCGACGGCCGGGCTCGTATGTGTAATTCGGTCGTAGTTCTCGTTTTAGGACGGAAGACAAGTTGCTCAACGTAGATACATTTCCTCTATGAAGAAAAAAAAAAGAATACTCACACATACACACACACGGTTCCCGCGTACTTTAGTCGACGTGTATGATTGTATACAAAATAGTTTCGATTCCCGGGAACGAGGGATTCCTGAGATGATTTGAAACAACATTTTCCTTAGCGAAAATTTGATCCGAGGCTTTGTTAACAAGATATTAATGAAAAACCACCGATGAGTCTGCTGGCCGAGCTTCGGGTTCGGTACGTGCTGCGATTGGTAGTCCAAGCGCTACCGCGGAAGCTCGGCCGGCAACTTGCGCTCTGATTGGTCGGGGTTTTTCGTTAATATCTCGTTAACAAAGCCTCGGATAAGATTTTCGTTAAGGAAAAAGTTGTTGCAAATCATTCCAAGAACCCTTCAGTTCCGGGAGTCGAAGCTGTTTTGGGACACCATACAGTATACATATACGCAACAGGCGTATTAATCGCGACCGATGGGGGCGGGGGGGAACAATGTTTCGAGAAACCGGATGTAAATGGTTGCCGTAACGAAACGATTAAGCCACGAGGTACGAGAAGACCTCGGGTGGTCCGACGAAGGTCGAGATACGTAGCTACGACATAATATAGCTTCGAGGTCGTGTTCCCTTTGTGTGTTGCAACAACGTTAACGACGAAGGTCGAGGGCCAACGAAGGTTGCGCGTATTGCCCTGGGTCGTTCAATTCCGTTCGATGTCAATTATAAACGTTGCGTCGATAAAAAACGAATACTGCTGACGAGCGAAAAAAAAAAAAAGAAGTATCGAAGAGGCTCCCTCCTCCGGCCTTGGCATTATTTCCGGCGGAATCGATTCGCCCGTTTCGCCGACCGTTCCGACAGACACCGTTTATTCCCATTTACATACGTACTTACATACAGTGAGTAACTTTAATATTCGGACACTATACAATTTTTACTTTGTCGAACTGTAATTTTATTCGTGACAGGGAAAGAACGTATCGAGTTGTAATTTATCACAAAGGGTCTACTTAACAAAAATGAGAACATTAATCATATGGTTCATAACATTTATTATATTTTTTATTTTAAACAAAACAGTGTCCGATTTTACGTTACATTAATATTCGGACACTTTAGAAAACTGTAGGTACAACCGAAAATACCGGTATTTTACGTTTCGGTAGATGTCCCTGGTTTAATGCACGTGGATTGCAAGGAGAGGAAAGGAAAAATGCCTCGATAAATAAATATTGTCCGTCGGACGGGCAGGCAGGCAAAGGCCGGTATAAACGTGGCGCGCGAGTTGGAGCGTAAGGGCACGGATTAAAAATAACGTTCCCTGTTTGCTCGAAGGGTAGAAACGACTCGTTTCGTTCGATTAAGGGGGGAGGAGGAGGAGGAAAAAAAAAGATTTCTATCCGATAGTTATTCGCGCGTAAGTCTTTTCTCGTTTGCGTGGAAAGTGCGTGCGGTATAACGAAATCGTTTTTAAAAGCAATAAATAGAACTGGGAACGAACCGATTTTTCTTGTTCGTGAGGGCGTTTTTTTTTTGTTTTTTTTTTCGTTTGGGTGATTCTACGCGTGGCCCTCCGACCGATCCACACGTGCTCGTCGGTGTCCACACGAATACAGTGAGTCCTCGATGAGTGCGACACCAACAACGGCATTATTCAAGCTTCTAAAACAAAGTAAATAGAAGCTAAGCAGAGGGTCATATAAAATACAAATTTATGAGGGGTAGAAAACCTTTACGCCTTGCCATGAATGCTCCGAAACGGACCCGAGTACGTTGCACTCATCGAGGCATCACTGTAGTCCGATTCGTCCCTCCGACTATACGCTTAATCTAGGTTTTTTTTTTCTCGTAGATAGTAAATAGACCACGGGCATATCGAAGAACCGCTGAATATATTTTTAATATCACAGTGGGGTAGTTTCGAAAGCGAGATTCGCTTAAGCGGCGTTTACACTAGGGAATTTTTAGTCGGGCGATTGAGTCGATCAAAGTCGTTCGAAAACGCCCGTGTAAACAGGATTTCAATCAAGTCGAAACGATTTTTAGTTGTCAATTCGACACAGTTCTCTTCTAAGAAATGACGTCATCATAACCAATAAAAAAAAAATCGGACGACGAAGCCTTTGATAGAGTAAACTATAAACCTTTTAATCGAACGACTTCAAGTCGACCGATCAAAAGTTGCCCAGTTAAACGCCGCTGTACACAACGACTCAATCGGACCGATGAACGCGGGTTTTGGCGGCGGGTGTACGCGCGCAATCATCCTCGAAGAGGAGGAGGGGAGAATCGAGACGTGAATCGCGAAAAGTTGGAGAATAGACGAATAAAAGCCCATTTATTCACATCCGTTCTGCGTCCGTTCCGTGTCCGTTCCGTGTCCGTTCCGTGTCCGATCCAGGCGATCGGGCTTTTTCGGTGCCACGGATGGCGATGGACACGGCTCTGATGAGTATAAACTACTAAATATATACAAAAATACGGTAAGAAATTCGGGCACCGATCGGACACGAAACGGATGTGTATAAATGGGGCTTAACGGTCTCATCCAAAGTCGCGAGGTCCCCATTTATCGTGAGAGCACGGTTCAACGGATCCGTTGATCGTCGCGCCACCCCGACCATTCATCGCCGCTCCATTATCCATTGTTACGCTATTTATTATCGTTCCAAATCTTCTCGATTACAAGGTTACCCGTTACTACTAGTACAACGTCGGTAGAGCTCAGCGAAGAATTACGTGATCACACGAGACACTCTACCGCGTTTAACGTACGAATCAACTATACGTAATATAGGTGTATTTAAACGAGAACGAAATGAAATTGAATTGCCGGATGACTGCCGAGCACCGATCACGATGGCGAGGTTCGATGTTGATTTCTGCGAAAGGAGTCGACCGATCGACGATCACGACAGTAAAGCTGCATCTACACGATATAACGTAACATGTTATATAGCGAAGTTGTAAAACTTGTTATAAGAACAGAAAGAAAAATGTTATACAACGTGATGTTACGTAACATTTTTCGCGTTATACAGCAATATATATGTTCTCCATTTAGTGTGACGCTATTATTAATAATGAAACGCGAAATGTTATACAAACTTGTTACAGACTTGTCTCTAACAAGTTATAAAAAAACATGTTCTATAGCAAGGTTATACAATAATTTGTTGTATAACACTGTTTTGCTATATAGTGTAGACGCAGCTTTAGACGAAGGACCCTGGATCGCGTCAGCTTTCGGCGACGCCTTGGACGAGACCCTTGGGCAAGGGCGGTGAAACGTGGCGTGAAAAAAAAAAAAGTGTGTCACCAAGGTTTAATCGTCGTCGAACGAGAATAGATCGCGATGAGAGTTTCCGGCACGATTCCCCCGCCGAGATTGTCCTCGAAATCTCGTCGACGACGATTCATAGAATGATGTATGTACCCTCATTAGCAAACTCGGTTTCCGTTAGGAGAAAAAATGATACAAGGGAAAGACCTACCACTTAGTATTGGGAATTACTGAAATTTATACTAAATTAACGTTCGATTTAACATTTATTTCAGTAGTTGAAATAATTCACCAAGCCTTTCTCTTACGCCACTTTTTCCTCTAGCGGACGCTGAGTTTGTTCACGAGGGTACGTTCCAAGAATTCACGTCGCCGCCATTGCCCATTTGGTACATCGTCCGTTTTCTTTCTCGAGTTCTTCGATCGTTATTTCTCGAGACCGTGCTGCTTTCCTCAACCCGTCTCTGTCTCTCTTGTCTCTTTTCTCTCCTTTCCACTTTCATTTTCGTCCTTCGACCTCGCGTACACTCGAAGAAGATCCGAAGGTGTACGGTTCCGGCGAATCGACTCCGAGCCCCACCACCACCACTCTTAGACCGGAAGTAAGAGCATATCGATCGCGTCCCCCGATCGTTTCGTAACAA